ATCACGAGAAGACTTCTAAGATTCAATTGATTCTTTAAAATGCTAACAAAAGAAATATTTGAAGAAGCATTATCCAAAGTAATAGAAAATAACTTCTTCTCAATCCCCCACTTAGTCACCAATGCATTAATTTTCTCAGATAATGCAGCACCAGGATGAGGAGGAGACATGTGACAAAAAAATTAAAATTCTCTTATGCAATTTCCAATCTTTGTCTACAAAGTGAGCAGTAAGAGCAAGATACCCATCAGTGCATTGTGAGGTCCATAAGTCTGATGTCAAACAAATTCTACCTTCAACTGAGCCTAACAAATTATGAAGCCTTTGTTTTTCATTTTTGAACATCCTCAACACACAGGTTTTAATTGTAATTCTAAATGGTAGCTTAATATCAGGAGATATATATGCAAACAAAACCCTAATTCCCTCATATTCATAAAAACTAAAAGGAAGATTATGCTTGATGATGGCCTCTACCAATAAGCCACGGAATACCACAAGATCAAAGTTTTGGGAACATAATTCAGACACCGACAATAATCCACCAGTCTGTCCAGGGCATGTTTTCAAATGTCTATTTATATTACCCATCCCATGATGACTATCATCTATTACCAGTTTCTTACAATCTTTACATTGAGTACGACTTTTACCATCTTCAAAAATAGTAGTCAATTTGTTGAAAGTTTTCCAAACAAGAGACATGAATGTTCGCTTACCTTATTTGATCACTCTAGCCTTTTTCTTTGTCGGACTTGTATTTGTATCTTTTGTATTTTCACTTCCATGATCAGGTTGTATTCCCATTGTCACTTCCACTGACCCTCCATCACTAAGGTTCATAAAATCTTGCTCTACAACACCCATTGCTTCAAGAAAGAAAAACAAAACTATAAAATCATACTCATACCAATTTCATACCATATCCATTTCAATTTCACATATATAATTGCACTCAACCAGTAAGCAAACTTCCCATATCCATATCAATTGCACTGGCAAACGCCAAACAGTAAGCATCTTCATATATAAGAGTTTTTATCATTTACAGCCAAAATTTACTCTTCAAATTCATAAATATCATTTTTTTGTAAAACAATTCAAATATAGCCAAAATTTGCCTTATTTGGGTAACCCTCTGTTTAAGACCTCATGTGCAGAATCATGAGAGCATACAATCACAATTTCCATCAAAATGAATAGTTGAAGAATACTATTTTAAAATATGCATAAACTGTATAAAAAAAAACATAATTTTTCTGAAAAAATACCAATTAATTAGCAGACAAGAATATTCGAAAGTTGTAGTTTTGTGAAATTTTCATCATCGTCTTGATTGTAGGCTTGTATATTAAGAAATTAAATTGATAAAGAACATAAAGAAAATCTCTATTCAAAATCCAGAGTCCTTATTCAAAATCTCAAAAGCCCTAATTCAGAGTCCCTATTCAAAATCCCTAATTCAGAAACATGAATTTCAGAAATTTCGAATTCCAAAGGCCCTAATTCAGAGTCCCTATTCAAAATCCCTAATTCAGAAACCTGAATTTCAGAAATTCCTAATTCCAAAAGCCCTAATTTAGAAACCCTAATTTCAGAAATTCCTAATTCCAAAAGCCCTAATTCAGAAACCCTTGAGTTTATTGCAGGAATTTCTTACCTTGTGCAGTAAGGAGAAGTGCGGACTGAGACCGAGATTTGGGTGGTACTGGTATGGACAGTGGGTGAACTAGTGAAGTTGCGATTTAGGTGAGGAGTGAGGACTGACAGAGTGACTGAGTGAAGGTGACAGTCTGGGTGAGGTCGAGGATGACGATGAGTGTGAGCCAATGAGGTCACTGATCTGAGACTGAAGTGAGGCCCGTGAGGAGGGTGAGGCACCTCGTGAGGTCGAAGTCAATCGAGAGAGACAGAGAGAATGATTTGAGTCTCTGAAGTCTGAGTTAATGAAAGAGAAGAGGAATAGTGGACGGCTAAGATTAAATCTCAACTGATCCAATGGTCATCAATTTTTTAAATTTAATATAATATATATATATATATATATAATTATATTATATAATTATTATAGTTTTTAGGGGTATAAAATTGTTAAATTAATATATATAATTATTATGGGAATTGTTATTAGCACTCCAAAAATCTCATTCTACACTCCAAACTTTCTATATTGGGAAAGAAAAATACACTTGTGAGGAGTGTAGAATGAGATTTTTGGAGTGACAATAAAACTTCCTATTATTATAGTTTATTCATACTTTTATTAAGTATAACATAAGATTTTCTAGTATCCACTAGTGTAAATATTTTAAATTGAAGATCGAATTTATTCATTGTATTCATATAAGGTCAAGGAGTGTAGCTGTAAAAAATCATCAAAATCGGAGTTAAAATAACCGTTAAATCGTGATTTTTCATTTTATAATCGTTGAAAAGTTTTGTCCTGTTACTTGATCTCTGAACGTTTGTTTTTGCAATTTTTGGCGTATGCGATCTCGAAGTATATACAAACATGTTTGACGGTTGGATCATTGAAAGTAGTTTCGTAGAATGCGTATCTCATCAAAACAATATATTCACTAACACTTAATAGTTTATTCATACTTTCATTAAGTATAACATAAGATTTTGTGGTATCCACTAGTGTAAATATTTTAAGTTGAAGATCGAATTCAATCATTGTATTTATATAGGGTCAAGGAGTGCAGCTGTAAAAAATAATCAAAATCGGAGTTAAAATAACCGTTAAATCGTGATTTTTTGTTTATAACCGTCGAAAGGTTTTGTCTCATTACTTGATCTCTGAATGTTTTTTTTTTACAATTTTTGGCATATGCAATCTCGAAGCATATACAAACAAGTTTGACGGTTGGATCGTTAAAATTAGTTTCGTAAGATGCGTATCCCATCAAAATGATAGATTCGCTAACACTTAAGAGTTTATTTATACTTTCATTAAGTATAACATAAGATTTTGTGATATACACTGTTGTAAGTATTTTAAATTGAAGATCAAATTCATTCATTGTATTCATATAGGATTAAGGAGTGTAGCTATAAAAAATAATCAAAATTGGAGTTAAAATAACCGTTAAATCGTGATTTTTCATTTTCTAACCATCAAAAAGTTTTGTTCGGTTACTTGATCTCTGAATGTTTGTTTTTTGTGATTTTTTGCTGATGCAATCTCGAAGCATATACAAACAAGTTTGACGGTTGGATCGTTGAAATTAGTTTCGTATAATTTGTATCCCATCAAGTTCAATGGTGTATATATATATCGTTGATAATTTGTATCCCATCAAGTTCAATGGTGTGTGTGTGTATATATATATATATATTATGTTGATTTAAATCTATTTATTTTGTACGTATAATTGACCGGTACATGGAGTAGTACATCACGTGTCATTATAAAAATAGTGGGATATGTGTGATAAAAAGTAAATAACTTAAAAAATAAAAATTTTCACCACTTCCATTAAAACACATGGTGTAATTTGTGTTCCCGTTACAATGAAAATTTTCTCAAGAAAAAAAAGGAGAGAGAGAGGTAAATGACGTACACGTGTTAGGAACACAGCTGTCAGATCTTATCCTATCAATAACAATTAACAAGTGCACACTTGAGAATGAGAGAACCACGGTGGAAAAACCCACCCTACTACTAGTAGCAAGCAAAATACCACTAGGTCCCATCTTTCCCTCTCTTTTTTGTTTCATTTTCTTATAATTTTCATTTTTCCCTCCATTTTTCTTCAAATGGTGGAACGGTGGATGCATATTAATTAATAATTATTATAGTTTTTAGGGGTATAAAATTTAATTTAAAATTTAATATACATATATATATATATATATATAAAATTATTATAGTTAATATTTTGGGGGTATAATTATTATAATAATTATAGTTAATTTAATATATATTTATTATAGTTTTTAGGGGTATAAAATTGTTAAATTAATATATATAATTATTATAGTATTTTTTTAGGGTTATAAAATTATTAAATTAATATTCTGCTTGTCGTGTATCGTGTTACCCACGTGTATACCCGAACCAACCCATTATCTTAACAGGTGCTTATCGGGTTACCCGATTCGTTATCGTGTCGACCCGAACACCTGTTAATTTCGTGTCGTGTCGTGTCGGGTTATCGGGTCGTGTCAGGAATTGTTAGGCCTAGTTAGAAGGATATGGGGTTGAGCTTACTTGTGGTTCCTTTTGATCAAAGGAATTGTTGATAAAAACATGTAGCGGATTTGGATTTTTTTAAAAGGAAAACTAATGAAAAGAGCTTGAAAACTTTGAGTTTTAACGATAAGGACAAAATAAAGGATAAAGTGAATAGCACCAGAATTGACTTTTTAGTGTAAAAATGTGATTTTTTGTTAAAATGAACAGTATCGAGAGCTTTTCATTGAAGTTCCCTTTTTTAAAACTAATTGAACTATTAGAAAGGAGATTCAAATTTTAATGCACTTAACAAACAATGCTAATTCACATTTAGGTACATGTTCATAAAAATTACATAATAAAGCACAATTTCCCATGATCAACTATTCTAGCTAATTAGGAAAAATAATTTATCTGCTGAGAAAATAGACTTATACGTGTTCAAATTATCAGAGTAAGGCAAGTGAGGCGTTACACTAAATAGACATAAAATATGATCACATTTCAACTATAATTGCTTGTGGAAAAATTATTGCGTAGTACTGTATAAGCTGAAATATAGATGCTAGAAAAGCGGAAGTTTGCTGTATAAGCTAAAACGTAGCTAGGCCTTGTGAAATGTAACAATACCAAGTAGTTGAAGAAATGAAATAACAATAAAAGCCCCAAATAAACGAACTAAAATTCTTCGTAGAAAGTCAGCAAGAGCATATGCCATATGCCTGCCCTATCTACAAGCTTCAAAAAACCCTAACAAAAAAAGGGTACAACAATAACCACCAAATTTAGGTGTAGAAGAACCAACTCGTACCACCAATCTTTATTAATTGCAACAGCACCCTTTGATTTTTTCAACTCACACCACACGTCTGATCCCGTGCCTCTTTCTCTCCACCATCAAAATCTCATCCTTCTATTTCTTTCTGGAAAGTTGTAGTACCCTTTTTATTTCTTTCTTTCTTTCGTCCCAAGCATCATCTTGTAGAGAGAGAGAGAGTAGGAGTACTCCAGTTGAGAACAAATCTAGGCCATGGCTGCCTGTGGAAGCCTCCAACACATCTTTGAAACCCCATTACCCGATACCCCGACAACACTTCTTGAATCCTTCTCCTCCTCATGGAACCAAATCCAGCCTCTCAAATCATCCAACATCGACAATAATCCATCGTCGACCCTCACTGAGATGTTTGGGGAGCTTCATTTCAAAGAGAATAACAATGTTAGTTCTCCAATATTTTCATCACCTTCCATGTCGACCTCCTCCTCCTCCTCATTGACGTTGTCCGACGTAGGATTTGACCCCAAAACCAAGAATGAGAAAATTGAGGAGGAGATGAAGAAGATGAACGGCCAGAAGAGCCCCTCAAAAGAGTCCTTTTCGAGCAATTACAATATGTCTCAGTCTCACAAAAGCAGTGATAGCTTTTCATCAATGAATTCGGAGAGCTTGCAGCTGTGCACGGAGGGACTTGGATTCGAAAGCTCGGACGAGATTGAGGAGTTGTTCAAGGAAAGTCCTCCTAGTGATCATGGATATCGTGAGGATGAAGAAAATATTATTGTCCAAGAGGAGAAGATTAGTTTTACAAAGCAATATTTTCCAATATCAGAAATTAGTTATCATACAAATAATAATTGTTCTGGTGGTAAATTAGGGTTTAGGAGGTCAAGGAGTACTAGTGTTGGGGGATTCCCTCCGCCGATATCTTGCATAAGCAAGAATGGGAAGCCTTGGGTTTGTTTCAAGTCTTACAGGCATGATGGCAGATTTGTCCTCAAAGAAATCAGAATTCCCACACAAGAGTTCTTGCATGCTTACAGGGAAGATGGACGCCTCAAACTGCACTTCGTCATGTCCGACGACGAAATTCTAGGTGAGGAAGACGATGATGTTGATGATGATCTATCATACCACGTCGAAGAAGAAGAGGAAGAAGAACAAGAAGAAGAAGATGAAGATGAAGAACAAGAACAAGAAGATCATCTACATGAAGATGGTGCTCGTGATTCAATAAATAATGAAGGAAATGATGAGGCAAAGACAAATAACTATGAGGTACAACCATGAGGTTGTTTGTTTTAGGTAGGAAATTAAGTTTCAGTGTTGAATTTGTAGCATGGGATGCCAGTAAGGCTTAATTTCAACTTCTGTGATTAATTCCTCCCAATAGGGTTAAGGAATTGCAAATAATGTTAGATAAAAGAAAGGAAACAAAAATGGATAGATATTGCTTTGCCTTAGCCTTTGCCAATGTCTGATAATTCATGACCTCTCTCTGTTTCATCTCTTAGTAGTATTTTAGATTCTTCTTTTTTTCCTTATACCAAGCCCATTTTGATTAAACATATATATAAGAAAAAAAGAATAACCTAAATTACTACTACAAGACCAATCCCTATTCCATTAATAATTACCCCACGCCGAGAATAATTGTACCGAATCTTTTGAGCCGAAAATCGATAGAAATAAGTTGAGCGCCATCAGTAAGTTGAGAGAAATAACTTTGTCAAAATTTCAAGTTCATTTCTCTCATCCAAACATAGTGTTAGTGTTTGATGTGGAGTAATGGAGTAAAGATATTGAGTCATTCCTTCCCTATTTTTTGTCATCTCAGTCAAGACAACCAGAGGACTCTTGCCACCATAATAAGTGTTTGGGTGGATATTTAATATTGGGCTCAAGACAAGTGAAGGCCCATGCATGTGTAAATCAGAAAGGAATTGGGTTGAGGATGTAGTAGCCCAAGATGAATTTAAAACCATTTTCTGCCAACTAATAGGCAGCAAGCCTATGTGAGGTGACAAGCGGTAGAGGACAACTCACTTTCAGGGAAAAAGTACTTTTCCATGGTATCGGTAGGTAATGAACCAAAGCAGATGATGACTCACCATGCACTGGAAGCCATCACCAAAAGGGAAGGCTTGGACAATCGGGCTAGGAAAGTCTATAAAAGTAAGGAAGGGCACAAGCATAAAGTCTCTCTCAACCAATCAATCAAGCAACTATCAGTACACTCAAACCAGAAGAAAAACTTTAGTTTGTTCATCCCTTGTCCTTTTCAAGTCTCATGTCCACTATAAAAAGCTTTCTTTTGTTTGATTTTAGAAGTTTTACTACCCTTCCCTTTTTTGTAGTATCGAATCCATTTAGTAAACCTTGTTTATATTTCATTTTCCAAAGATCTCAGTCACTGTAAAATACAAGGAGAGGTGTCCGCAAGAAGATAAACCTTGCCCGCCAAGGTTGTAATCTTGCCCGAATCTCCTTTATCTGTACTTACATAAAGTAGATTTGTAGTTTTTGTTTCTTCCTTTGAACTTCATGTCATTTCTAATTATTTTTGCTCAACTTTTAGTCACAATTAATCTTGTCAACTAATTATTTTGGTTACCTTGCTGTCAATCTAAAATAATAACTAAGAAATCAACTTGATTAATCTCAACTTCCTTTATATACGAACATGTGATGCTACAAATGAAAGTCCTTGATCAAAAGGCGAAGAAAAGATACTTAACCTATCTGTGAACAATCATGATATTACAAGAAGTTAAAGTGACTTGTAGCTCAAGAAATTGATTAATTGAACAATCAAGTAAACAATCTGTTAGACAAAAAAAAAATAGTGGCACACTCGAATCTCTATTAATCCTGATTATGAGCCTTAAGGCCTAAGAAAGGCCCCACAAAGGCACATCTCAAACTAATTCCAAATTTATGTTGCAAGGAACTAAACATTAAACTTTGCCTGATGAGAAAGGCCAGGGGAGTTATGCAAGGGACAGTTCTAGCTTAAACATAATTTTGGCCCACTCGGTGGGACCATAACTTGTAGTATTGCATGCCAAGACAAAGGAAGGATCGAACGTTCAAGTGGAATGTGGAATTCAAGTAGCCTCTTTGCCCTACAAAGACAAACATGACAGATCAGTTGGGAGATTTTTCTTCTTCACTCAGTACCAGGATTATAGACAGCCAAACTTCTTCTGAAAAATCTGGAGGAAATGTAAGCAATGAAAACTTGCAAGCTACCATGATCTTTAACAGGGACATTATAGAGAAAGTTAGAGTTAGAGTACTCCTCACCAAGGGAATGAACTGTGTTTAAAGGTGGAGAAATGACCAACCCTCCCTCAGTTTCCCTTACTAGAGAGGAAAATAGATAAAGGAAAAAAGAAAAAACATGTAGGAACCAACAACCAAGGAGAAGTTAGAGACAAGCCATAAAAGTTAGGCTTGCCAGATCTCTTGCCACCACCACTTGAGGTCAAAAAGCTAGGAGTGCTAGATGTGATGAAATTTGGTACGCTTGACCCAGGTGAGGGCCCTAGTACCAGAAGCTTGCCCATTGATGGAGGGAAACCCCGCCCTATCAACCACCACCATTAGTTAATAAAGGGGGAGAATAGGCTAATTGGAGGTAGCCTGACGTAATGAAAGAACTTTTATCGGGCATAGATCATGGCCTAAAGTGGGGGAATTCTTCCTCCCCAAAGAATATTATGGCCAATCAGCAACTTGGGAATGAACTAGCAGAACTAAGAGGGATGGTGATGCAAAATGCTCAGCCTTAAGCCTGCCTGATGTTCAGAATCATATACTAAAAGCCTTACCCAACATACGTGGATGAACATAATCCTTTTCCTCTTAATTTCAAGATGCTTGTTTTTCCAACTTTTAGTAGGGAAGATTGCCATGTGTCCTCCAGATATCATATTTTCAAATTTTCAAACTTTCAAACTATTGTGTGGCTTTTGAAGACAACCCCAACTGCAAGTTAAAGTTATTTGGAAACTCTCTGGTGGGGCTGGCTTCTCAGTGATATTCTTTATTGCCCCTAATTCCATTGTTAATTGGGGGCAAATGGAAATGGCTTTTCACGAACAATTCTATACAGTAGAGCCAAAGATGACCATTAACGACTTGGTAGAGGTAAAACAGTATGAACATGAGCCTACAAAGGATTTTATGATGAGATTCAGAAGGATCAAGATGAGGTGCCAGTTTCCTATCAATCATGCTCAACTTATAGCCATTGCACATAAGGCTTTAATGTTGCTCTTGAGAAAGAAGTTCTACGATGTACAATTTAATGAACTCCAAGAGTTGGTGATTGCAGCTACCAAGTATGAGAAATTGTTGATAGAAGAACAACAAGTAAAGCACTCATCCAAGACTCCTCCATTCTACAAAAATAAAGCACCAATACATCAGTTAAAGTTTAAAAGCTTGGAAACAGGAGATAATGAAGACAACTTAAGATAAAGAATAGATTTGTGTGTGACCGAGATGAATACTCCTTTCAAGCCTTTGATAGTGAAATCTCTAGTTCAACCAATTAAGGATCAAAAGATTGTGATGAGTAATGGAGAGTTTGTTCCTATTAAGCCTCCAAAATATCAAGCATATTCCTTTGATTTAACCAAGGCTGCTGAGGAACTAGTAAGAGCCTGAGTTATCTTGCCCGATAATACCAAGAATATGCCCAAATTTGAGGAACTAAGAGGGAAGAAGTATTGCAAGATTCATACTTTCAATCACTCCATCACCAATTGTGTGCAGTTTAGAGATTGGATTCAAGACTTAATTGTCAAGGGGAAGTTGTTACTAGAAAACCCTAGGCTAACATGATGATTGATGCAGATCATTTCCCCGAAGTCCCAATTAATATGATAAACCTTAATTGGGTGGAGAAAGTGAAAGGAAAAGCTATTAAAAGGTTGCTTGATAGGCCTAAGGCAACGGTAATCAGGGGAGTAATGTTATGTAGTAAGTGCCAATGTGAATGTGAGTTAGAGGTACCAGCACTAGGTGCCATCATTGACCAAGAGTTAGCTAAAAAAAAGGAGAAAGAAGAACAAAAAGCCCGCAGGGCTAACCTTTGGGCGTCTGACTTAAAGAAGGAAACCTCAAAGAATGTATTTCATAAATTGGGAAGAGATTCAAAACTTAAGAATTTTTCTAAAGTGTTTAGGAACTTTGAATTCTCTTAAGAGGTAGAAGATAAGGATGGAAGGCTAACATGATAAAGGGATGTTAAAGTACCCTGTTCAACCAGTCACGGTAACACAAGATCAAGAAGGACAGAAAGGAATATGAGCCCGATGCCACCAGTCACAAAGGTAAATTCAACTCGACTGGGTCGAAAATGGTATGTGGTAGGAAATGATGGAAGACCTATGAGAGAAATGGGGGCATCTATGATAAAAAGGGTGTAAAGACAACACAAAGCACATATGAATTCATTACAAATCCATACTCTGTCAGAAGGTTCTGGGAATGTCAAGATTGAAAAGTTTATCATGGGAAGTGATAGGCATCCAAGCTAGAGAAGTAAAAGGGGGATAGAGAAAGCTAGAAAGCTAATAACAAGACGGGGGGAGTAGGATAACATGTTCCTCAAACTCCTCACCTTGGGAAGTACAAGATATTAAGAAGAATGCAGGAAAGCACGGTGATGGTGCCCACCCCAGGGTGGAACCTAATGCCAATTTGTTTTGGGACTATGCCTCCTAAAAGGATTGCACCCTCATTCTTACAAGGGGGCATTCCTTTTGGGAACCCAGAGCAACTGCTTGATTTTAACATAAATCCAGTAGGAGAAGGAGATGAAGCACCATAACTAATGTTGAATGAAGAAGCACAAGCTTGGATGGATCAGTTCATGTGCCAGATTGGGGAGAAGAAAGAAGGGGCATCTGGATCTAACAACTTTTATGTTAAAATGACCTATGTGTTATCCTCCATGTTTTGATCTTGATCAACCAATTGTGATGCAAGAAGATTATTTATCACAGGAACTAATAATGGCCCTTGTAAACCTTGAAAGAACCAGCAAAGAAGAATCAAGAGTAGTAGTCTTGCCCGATCCCATAGGAAAAATGCCCGAGAGGATATACATTGATGAAATTATGTTCAGAAAGCCAAGTATGACCTTGGCAAACCATTTGAAACCTATCTATGTGATAGCTCATTTGGAAGGAGTAATTTCAAAAGAATATTGATAGATGGAGAGGTAACAATTAATGTGCTACCACTTAAGTAGATGAGAAACTTGCTAGAAGTGAAGAAGATCTTATTCCAACGGATCTCACAGTGTCTAATTTTTCTGGGGCCATTACTAAGACACATGTTATACTGCCTTTGGAGATGGGATCTGAGGTCCAAGAAGATCATGATGGCATTCTTTGTGGTGGATAACAATTCCATTTATGGGGCTTTATTGGGAAAAGATTGGATACACCAAAGTTTGTCCATACCATCAACCC